TGGTATTAAATGCTGAACTGTAGTCGATGAAAAGCATTTGAACATAATTCCCCCTTCTAGTGTCCAGGTGAGTGAGAGATGTATGGAGGAGATGAGAGATAGCGTCATCTGTAGAGCGGTTTGAACGGTACAGAATGGAACAGAGTCCAGCCCCTCTCCAGGAGTGGTTCCAGAGTCCGAGTCGTGCGTCGAGGTGAGCCTGTCTATATCTAGTCGGCATCTCTCTGCACCAGCTCAGGCTCCTTTCCCACCAGAGGTTACATTCCATGAGCCTAAAGCTAGTTTTAATAGCCGGTAATCGGTTCGCCGAGGCTGTCACCTTCGACTGCCACCCGATCTCCATTACACCCGACCCCCATGGCTCCCCCTGAAGGTGCTGGGCCCACAAGGGGGCAGACCCATGTTACTTCTTTGGGCTAATATTTGTTAATTCTTTCTAAACTAGAAGGCACTTTGGGCAAACTCCTGTTGTTTTTAAATGTGCTGTATAAATAAATGACTTAACTTGAAATAAACAGCTAGACCTGATGCTAGTTAGCTTTCATCCCCAAGAGAACTATAATTGCATATTAAATGCTACTACTTTAGTAGATGAGCAGGGGTTTATAGAATGAGGGGAGGAAAATGTAATAAACTGCTAAATATAAGGGGTGAAATTATGTGTTTCACAATGGAAAGGGAAGGACAACTGAATAATAATAAATTACATTAATTCCTGTTTTTCTATATAGTGACAATATTTTTTTATAATGTGGCTCATAAGTGTATATATAAGACTAAAGAGTAAAACGCAACAAACGTAAAAAATAGTAAAATTCTGCGGTCATTAGTCAGTTGCCAAACAATTCGACAACTGCGGTTATAATGTGGGATATTTCACACTCTGTATCCAGTCTTAACAGAAGAATACTCACAAATGTTACAGGTAGTACCTTTCACAAGCACCTGCAATAAACTTTATTCATGTCAGTACTATGGTTATAGGTAAACTGACAACAAAACCGAAGGGACTCGACCACCCGGCGAGAAAATGTACTTACGTTTGTATTTCGCCTCTTCCCAGGGCATAGCCCACATATACATGACTGTGCAGAAGCCTTATGCAGCCAAAGAATATTATGTTTAAATGAGCTTCGTGTTGGTTAAAAGCTATGACCGTGTGCCTGTCGATCAAAGTTTAGCCATTTCAACTAATAGAGTTGAACTAAAGTCAACCCATTTATTTGCAGCAACCTCCCGCACACCCATGTATTTTTTGACTCGATCACAGGAACTTTTTAAAACTAATAAAATTAATTAAGTGAGCTGCTGCTGAAATTTAATAAATACATGAAATGGCTGCGATGCCCCTGAGGAGAGGTTTGGGAACTGAAGCTGTCTTCTAGCCATCCAACTAGATATCAGTAACTTTTCGTAGAACAGAAGAAATTCGGTCTTACTATAGTTTTTAATGCGTTACTCTTAATTTGCACATGTTCTAATGCTGAATTGTGTTTTTTTTTCCGAGCAAAAGTGCGCTTACTATCCAGACAAATACCTTTAAGCATTTCTTTTGACTATTGCACAGTATTGTATAAATATAAATAATGATATTAATAATTATACATTTATTTCAGACCCAAGTAGCATGCATATATTTATGGAGGCCGTGCATGTTGTCATTGGGGCACTGCCCCTTCCCCTCAGTTCCGAACCTGGAATATTCCGATTATGAAAGGGCCGGAGGACTTTAACAGCGGTGATATTTCATAAACGTAATCTCCTTCCTATTTAAAACTGAAAATCCCAGCCGTTCTTAGTAAATTGAAATTACAAAGGACAGCTCCCGTGCATCTCTATCCCATGGAAACTCCAACGAAAAACGACAGTGAATCAATGTCAGAATAGAAAGTCAAATAACAAGGATATTCCGACAGGGGAAGCGGACATATTGCCGCTCAGACAGGGTACTGTATTTATCGGTGATTAATCTTAAAGTAGATCTCCCCAAACGACGTATTTTTTCAGAATGCAGTCCAAGAAGTAACCATTATATTCGAAACATCTGTGATTCTTTGTGGAATACGTTGTCTGTCACGTCGTATCTTTAAATTCACCTATTTGACATGCGCCGACATTTTGTTTGTCTGATCGTAAAGCGACAGTGATAACTAGAATGCCTATGAACTGTGTGATAATTTTGTAGAAATGCACGTACAGTACATCATTGAAAAATTCATTGATGTCCATAAATTCCACGTCAACTGAATAGGTTAGGAAGTGAAACTTGTGGCAAGATAAAGTTGTCATAAGGTAACTCTACCGTAACAAATTACACTAAGTTACAAGACATGTTAGTTCTACTGATTTTCTAATTCTATCCTGGTGCGTGAATACGGCATATGTTTTCGAGCGATTTAACCTTCTTCATTATTTCTTTTATAGGTGCTCGGTACACGCATGGTCGCGTGTTCGGGTTAGTTGCTATAACGCGAGAGGGGTGTATATCGACCAGCTATAGCAAAATGTCCTATATGGAAATCAAGATTCGCAGCAAACGTATACACGTTAAAGGGGTTCTTTTTCCTGCGTTATACCAAATGGCAGAGACAATGATTATTTTAAACTAAGGTGGTGAATCGAACACGCGACGTCCTTTTAGATATCGGTGCCCCGGTTCGAGGTGTGTTTTACTGCACTCACAAAAGTTGAAATTTACGATTTCAGCTTTAAAAGTTTGGGATCAGAACAGTATTTTCCGATACACGTGGCCTTTCTGACAATGTCCATCAAGCAGTCACCAGCTAACTATGCTGTTTTATTTTTTAAATATGCGTAATATGGAGAGAGAAGCCCCGTGAGCGGTCTGATCTAACCACCGAAGGGAGCACTTTTGGACGAATCAGAAGAAAACTAAGCGGTGCCTCTCGAAACATATTGCTTGGTTTTTAAGAGGAGGGCCCTGGGCTTCTACTTCGTGGGTTGTTTGCGTCGAAGGCAGCTCCACGGGCGATTATTTTGCAGATTTGTGCGAGGAGAAAACACAAGAGAAAGCGCCTCGGTGAGCTCTGCAAGCGACGTGCTGGCCGAGTTGAGTCTACACGGTTCTCATCGCGCGTTTAAGGACAACCCACCATGACGCGTCTGCTTCACACACAGCGGAGTTTTCCGACTTAGAGACTGTTTGTAGAGAAGCGTTCGAGCGAGAAAATGTCTGAAGCAGCACCTGCTCCCGCCGCGGCCGCTCCGGCCAAGGCCCCCAAGAAGAAAGCCGCCGCCAAACCCAAGAAAGCGGGTCCCAGCGTCGGAGAGCTGATCGTGAAGGCCGTGTCCGCTTCCAAGGAGAAGAACGGACTCTCTCTGGCTGCCTTGAAGAAAGCTCTGGCGGCGGGCGGCTACGATGTGGAGAAGAACAACTCCCGCGTTAAGTTGGCACTGAAAGGCTTGGTGACCAAAGGCACCCTGCTTCAGACCAAGGGCACCGGCGCCTCTGGCTCCTTCAAGCTGAACAAGAAGCAGGTGGAGGTTACCAAGAAGAAGCCCGTCAAGAAAGCGCCTGTTAAAGCCAAGAAGCCGGCGGCCAAGAAACCTGCTGCGGCTAAGAAGCCCAAGAAGCCAGCGGCCAAGAAACCCGCGGTCGCCAAGAAGTCACCCAAGAAGGCGAAGAAGCCAGCTGCGCCCAAGAAGGCGACTAAGAGCCCCAAGAAGCCTAAAAAGCCAGCGGCGACAGCAGCTAAGAAGGCAACCAAGAGCCCGAAGAAAGCAAAGGCGACTAAGCCCAAAGTTGCCAAGCCTAAGCCCACCAAGGCCAAGAGAGCCGCTCCCAAGAAGAAGTGAGCGTGCAAAGTGAATTTCTCTCGACCACAAAGGCTCTTTTAAGAGCCACCCCACCAACATCATAAAGATTGCAAAATTCCTCCACTTTATCTATAGTGAAACAACGGGTGTGTGCGTTCTAATGTGTACTTGATTCGTCTTTTTTTTTAATGTGTGTGTGGATAGCCAAGTCCATACTTGATTATCAGGGGAAAATTGTAGCCCGTGTGCGGACACATGTTGCACTGACTTGGGTGGTGTGTGGCGCCGTGGCTGTGATGGGCAGGATCCCGATTCGGGTCCCGTGGCTGACAGCGAACACTGTCTCTGACCCGGTTCTCTACTTTACAAGCGTCTGCAATGTTTAATGACATTTAGCAGACGCTTCTGCCCAAGCGGCATACAATTGTAAAGTAGAGAACCGGGTCAGAGACAGTGTTCGCTGTCAGCCACGGGACCCGAATCGGGATCCTGCCCATCACAGCCACGGCGCCACACACCACCCAAGTCAGTGCAACATGTGTCCGCACACGGGCTACAATTTCCCCCTGATAATCAAGTATGGACTTGGCTATCCACATACACATAAAAAAAGACGAATCAAGTACACATTAGAACGCACACACCCGTTGTTTCACTATAGATAAAGTGGAGGAATTTTGCAATCTTTATGATGTTGGTGGGGTGGCTCTTAAAAGAGCCTTTGTGGTCGAGAGAAATTCACTTTGCACGCTCACTTCTTCTTGGGAGCGGCTCTCTTGGCCTTGGTGGGCTTAGGCTTGGC